TTTGTACAGTTGAGGCCCACTGAGTGTGCAGAATCAGATCTCAACAGGTATATGAGTTATTTGTTATTAATTTATTATTGGGATGATAAACAAATGGGTGATAAACAAAGGAATAAGCAAATAGTTTGAATGGAAAACAGATTTTATTTGCAATAAAACAGAAGCAAAATTTGCAAGTCCAATCTCTTGTTAGCTAGTCAAAGTGAATATATTAACCGTAAAATATACATAGACCAACAATACTTGGGATGTGGGCAGACACAAATTCATAGCTGGGATTAGCATAATCTCTACATTTATGTTCAATATTTTTAAATATATATATGCATATATATATATTTTTTCATGTGGAAAAACACTAAGAAAATGGTGTTTGAGTACAGGGCTTCATAATTTGAATTTATAACTCATGCACAGAATGGAAACAGAACTATATATGATAGCACTTTATTGATTCATTAATATTTATTTATATACGCAGCAATATACCATGCATCAACAAATTGGACTCTTTAATAAATAGCATTAACATTGCTTGTTTTTGCATAATCAGTTAATTAATGTTTCTGCATTTGACATTCTCATTTATTTCATGTTGCATAATGATTTATCTTGTTCTGTGCTGCAGTGTTTACTCCTAAGGAGTAGAAAGTTAAACAGTAAACTTTGTTAAACAGTACTTTGTTGCCCAGTAGCTCAAGTAATGAAAGTGAAATCTATTAACAATTAATTAGTATCTTAATATTCAATAAAATACCCTTTTCTTTTCTTTTGGTACATAAACATTACTGCAGAAGTTATTATTGTAAAAGTTCCAGACAGGCAATTCTCAAAGTATGTGCACGTGAATCCTGTAAGCAGCGCATAAGGAGTACTGAATAACAGCATTAAGCATTACACAGGCAGAAGCATGTCATTTGTAAGTAAATATAGACAATAAAATTTAGCCTTTTGCAATTAATGGGGTGTTGACAATCTGATCAGGCTTTTTTTTTTTTCTTAAGTATTGTTCTAGTTTTATATCAACTTTTTAAACTAAATTGAAATTTAATTTAAATCTCCCATATTTTTTTTTTCCTGTAACGATAAAAGCAAATACTGTCAGTTTCTTTACAAAAAAATAAAGGTCAGGAACTCTGATAGTCCAGAATATAAATAAACTGGCTTTTATAGCATCCTCTCACATTTGATTGCAGCTCCATTCCAGGAGCATGCTGGTCTTATGAATATCCATAATGACAATGTAGTGCTGAAAGCAGGTGACAAAGCACTGAACAAATGGGAACAAAAAAATCGTAGACTCACAGAATGGCCCGGGTTGCAAGGGACCTCAAGGATCATGAATCTCCAGCCCCCCTGCCACAGGCAGGGCCACCAACCTCCACACTGAATACTAGACCAGGCTGCCTAGGTCTAGTAAAAAAAAAAAAAAAGGAAAAGCAGTATCAGGCATGCTACCTGCTGTCAAGAGCAGCATTATTGACCTCATAAGAAAGTGCCTGAGTTTCCATTTACAGTGTATGCAAGAGGGGGCTCAAAGTTAGCGAGGTTTGTAACTGAAATCCATCTTTAAAAAAATAGCAAAAAGTGAAATAATATTCACTTGATATTTTTTGTATTTATTTGTGGGAACATTTGAGTAATTAAACAAATTTCTGTCCTAGAAGCAAAGTAAACCAATAGATTGATCCAAATGATTGGACTTACGATTTCCTGCACACCTTTTAAAAAAAAAAAAAAATTAAAAATTGAGAACTTTTTGTATATGGGAATAAAGTTGGCACTGGTGAAGAGTTCTTTTTAGTTCTGTCAATGGCTGCAAGCATTCCTTGTAGGTAGTACACCTAGCAAAAGCAACACGGTTTTCTCTTTCCTCTTCTGCTTATGTGTCTCCAATGGCTCCAGCAGAACTTTAGGTAGCTGTCCACTGCACACTGAAGAGGAGGTATACTCTTCTTGAATCAGCAGCAGTCAGGAAAGCCACCAAAATAATAGTTATACAAAGCAGTTACTGTACAAAAAGTAGTTATACAAAGTTGTACGACAGCTTGCAAAAATGATCTAAAATGTACTTTTTCAGTGACAGTTGCCCCCAGAAAACTGCAAAATTTGACGAGCAGTTCTACAAGTTTTCACCTTCGAGATTTCATTTCACAAGCACTTTTCATTATGAGGAATAAAAAAACTGGCAGGGCCATTGATTTAATCTAAAATGTTTGATTTAAAGTGCTTTCCTTTAAATAAATGTGTTTCATGATGTTCAACTGCCTGATTTCTTTTTACATGTTGTCGATGTCAATGGCAAAAACTACCTAAGATTTACCATGCTGGCTCCGTTGCTATATATTGCTCCATGGCGTACTAGTTGTCAACTCCAAGGTCGCAGCTTTATTAAAGGATCAAGATTTACAATAATGTTAGCTCCAGCATGAATGCCTTCACACACATCTTCCCCTACTTTACTTCTCTGAGGTCACCAGCCCAATTTCTACCCCTGCCAAAGCTACTAATCCATAAATACTGCAGTCTTCTGAACAAAGTTCAAATGGACCTATCATCATCTTTGAGTAATAAATCTTTACTTTTGTTTAACACCTGCCTTCAGAGAATGCAAGCCTCTTTACTTGCAGTAATTAATTTACCTTCACCACGGCATTATTTGGTGATTAAAAATTGCTCCCCTTTTAGAGACTGAGGAACTGAGGCATGATGACATGCTTGATTGCAGTTCTACAGGAAGACTGAGAAGACTTGGAAGCCTGTGTCTGCACATAAGTCTTGAATGCTGAAGCTGAAAGCTGTGCTATATCCTTCCCAGTCCTGTACTGTCTGAACTGAGGCCTCTGTAACTCTCCTCTTAATGTAGTTTCATGGCATTGATGTGGCAAACCTGAAGTTGGCCATATGGAAGAATATAGTCCTAACTGATGCATGTAAACATGAAAAAGTGTTCTGCAGACACTTTACTGCTCAAGGTGTGGTTGAGTATATTCTGGCTGTGCTTGCACTGTTGAAAGGGTTACTGCTACCAACCACAGTTCATCACCCCTTATGCCTCCTCAGATCCACAGGCCTGGCTTCCTACTTCGTTTCAGACAAGGCCAGTTAATTACTTCAAGCAGCAGTTCTTTGCCAGCTGATGAAAAGCTCAGCTAACTCATAGCAGCCTCCAACAGAGCAGTGATGAGTACAGGATAGCAGCTACCTCAGGTGCCAGAAGAGCCCAGGTACAAAATGCACCTTATTTCAGTGACTAAGCTTCCCAGCTCTGTCCTTTCCCATGAGTCCTGTGCACAAGGAGTCCTGCTGTTGGCACTGGACTTTCTCTTGAGCTGAAACGTCCAGTAAATATCCCAGCCCAGATGACTTTGCTCTTAAATTGCTTACTAGAGTGGATGAACTTCACAACTCCTACTACACAAAGGCCTTCAAATCTTGCTATGGTATGATCTAAAAAGGAAGTCTTTGGGACAGTTCTTAGCTTTACCAGGTCTTAGCTTTTGCTTGGAAGGACAGCAGCGTTTTTAGCTAGTCATAACTGGGATCCTGAATAAGAAAACAGAGCCAGCATCCTTCACGGGATCACAGAATAGTTCATCTTCTACCCTCATCTAAAGCGAGACCTGAGCTTTAGCTTCATTTCCTCTTCTCTCTTTCCTCTCCAAAGTGTGGGACCAGATAATGGAGGCATTGCCTTGCTGCTGATCGCTGGCAGATACAAGCAGCAGCCCTGAGGGATGGATGAAGCCTAAATAGTTTTGAAATCCTGGAGGCTGAAGGCATAAGTGAACCACAAGGTTTAATGTTTTGTATTTTCTCTTCCCTGAAAACATAATTTCAGGCTACAGAGAGTTTCCTACCTAGCAATCATCTCTAGACATCTGCTTGTGGTATAGACAGTTGCATTCCCAAAGAGAAAAGAAATCTGAAAGTGAAGGAACCATTTATCTTCAGCCTATGGCACATATTTTTTATATGAGATGAGAGACCAGGCCCGAGCTGAACCTTAGTTTTATTATGAACCAATGTAATTTCCACAAATTAATATACTTTGAAACAAACACAATCTCTATGAATTGGTTTCTTTTAAAAGTATTGCCAGCATTTTGTTTGTTGTTCATCTGCCAAGAGTTACATTTGAGGCAGTCAGTTCCAGATGGGCTAAGCAAGTCCAAATTCTTCTCTACCTAGAGAGATTTGTTGACATAACTACATTAATGTAGTGCTCTTCTTACAATTCCTTATTCTGGAAGAAAAGTGCAAAGTCATGCTGCTGGATTACTGTTAAAATTTTTTGTCAGTCTGATTCAGTAGGCAGAAATTTTTAACAAAATATTACTAACAGCACTAAAACTACACACATAAATGCTGCTGCCATTAGTCCGTCTTCATAAATTAATCAGTCTATAAATCAGGGAAATTTTTGTTGATGCATTTTTTTTCCTTACTGTAAGAAATTAATTCTTTGAAACAACACAGTAAATAAACTTATCTGACATAAGTGAATATGTGGATATATGTGTATGGAAAGTGTTCCATACACAGAACAATACAGCAGAAAATACATCACTCATCCTGATTGTCTTTTTCACTCAGTACTAAAGTGCTGTTTCCTTTCTCATCCTAGATAACATCCAAATGACCACAGTGAGAGGTCAGATGCGTTCCTGAGTTGCCTATGCAAGGCTTCCCATAAGCCATCCTCTGAACCTTGCTCTGCAGCTGATGTTGTTGGCACAGCCACCTCTGTACTATGCAGTGTGTTCATCAGTAATGTCTTACAGCAGAACGACATGCACACGTTTTGTTTTGTGTAGGCTTATACTTCCATTAGGCCGAGGTGCCACAGTCACCTTTCTCAGTGTGCTATGTTGCAGCAGCTGCCTAATGTACACCATAGAATAATCTGAGTTGGAAAAGACCCTAAAGGTCACTGAGTCCAACTCCTCTGCAATGGACAGGTACACCTACAGCTAGAGCAGGTTGCTCAGCGCTCTGTCCAGCCTGACTTTGAATGTCTCCAGGGATGGGGCATCCACCTGTCTGGGCAACCTGTACCAGTTTTTCACTATTTTATTGTAAAACACCTTTTCCTTATAACCAGTCTAAATCTTCTGTTTTAAACTTTGTCTTACCACAACAGACCTTGCTAATAAGTCTGTTCCCTTCCTTCTTATAGTCCCCCTTTAGAAGGTTGCTATGAAGTCTCCCTGAAGCCTTCTCTTCTCCAGGTTGAACAGCCCCAGCTCTCTCAGCCTGTCCTCACAGGAGAGGTGTTCCACTTCCTGGATCCTGTGTGCAGCCCTCCTCCTCCAGCAGGTTTATGTTCCTCCTGTACTGTACACCCGACATAAGTTTTCCAACACGAAGTCCTAAATTTAGTGCTAGAAAGGGTAGCAGAAAACATTTACCTAGTTAATAATCAAAGCTCTTGAACGTTATAACATATCTTAAGTGTGCTTAACGCTTTGTGAATACCCCCATGTTTGAACCACTACTTTATCATCAAGAAGAGTGCAGAAATGCCTTTGCCATTCATGCAGAAGGTGCTTGCAAACACTTTCCTCTGATTTCATACTGTCAGCAAGAGTCAGACTGTCCGTCTGCTACTGCTACCTGAATGAAAGGTGCCAATGACTCAGCTGGGTTGGCCATGGATTTATCTCCCTGAGCACCCGTGCTAACCTGTAGCACTTCCCCTAGCCACTTTGGGGGCCAGCATTTTTGTGGCGTTTCTCCACGTCCGCATTTGCAGCATACTCAACATGGACACAACGATAGGGAGACAATCAGTAGGGCAGGATCGCCAGCAGCACTCGCAAGGCCCCAGGCGGACATTTGGACGCCAAGACCTTTCCCAGATAAAGATTCTTTTAACTCTAGAAACTTTTGGGGGCCGAGAAGCTTTAACAGCAGAGCAGGACAAGGTGCGGGTGCACCGCGCTGCCACAGGACCAGGCTGACACCCGAGCTCACCCACCCGCCGCCACAGAGGTCGCGGCCTCCAACCAGCGCCGCCCGCTCGCGGCCGGGCTCGGCGGGACGAAGCTCCCCTCGGTCGGCCGGCGCCAAGCGGGGCGGGGCTGCATCTCGGGGCCGCTACGGCCCGAAACACAGGAAGAAGAGAAAGGGAAGGAACGCCCGGCCCGCTGCGTCCCTCCGCCGCGGGTACGCCCACGGCACAAGGAAGAGAGAAAGGGGGCGGTGGCGCCGGGCAGGGCGGGGCGAGGCCGCCCCGCGGTATCGTAACAGTCCCGCCGGGCCGGGAGGCGATCGCCATGGAAACGCTGGCCCGCCCCGGGCCCGCCCCTGGCCCCCGGGTGACGGCGGCGGGGCCTGGACGCTGTTCGGAGGCTGTCCGCAGCCGCCGTTGAGTCCGCCGATCTCCGTCCGCGGGCTGCGGCAGGTAACGGCAGGGCCGGGCGGCGGGAGGGAGCGGGCGGCGGCGCTCCCCGAGCCGGCGCCGGAGGGGCGGGGCGCCGGAGGGGCGGGCGGCGCGCAGGCCCGGGCCCCTTCCCCTCCCCTCCCCCCGCCGCGCCGCCGCAGCCCGGCGCCCACCTGGCGCCAGGTGCCCCCCGCCATCTTCCCGCAGCCCTCCGGCCCGGCCCCGCGGGAGCGGAGCGGAGCTGGCCGGGTAGGACTGGCGTCTCGTCCCCGCTCCGCACAGACAGGCCCCGACGTGTTGCCATGGCTGAGGAAGCCGCCGCCGCGCGCTTCAGCGAGGAGGACTTTTACTGTCCCATCTGCCAGGAGGTGTTCAAAACGCCCGTGAGGACTATGAACTGCCAGCACGTGTGGGTATCCCTCCTCCCGCCCCCCTTCCTTCTTTCGGAAGCGCTCGCCTCGCCTCCTCCGCCTTCCTGCCTTTATTTATTTCCCTGCCTTCTCCCCCGCCCGGTTTGCAGGTGCGGGGTCGGGGATGGGACGCAGCGCAGCCTCCGCCGGCCGGCCCGGCTCTCTCCTCACCTGCTTCTTTTGTAGCGAGCGGGGCCGTCCGTGAGCAGAGGCACGCCCCGGAACGGGGCCCCCCGCGTCTCTTCGGCGCCGGGCTGTGCTGCAGTTGGAAGCAACTTCCAAACCTGACTGAAATTGCGTTTTTAGCTTTATTTGTAGCTTCCTACTCGTTTTCAAAGCGATCGTAGCGGAGTTGTCTCTTGCAGTTCATGCGTTCGTAGTGGAGAGCTGTGTATGCTTTTAGGAACGTGTGATCGCCAAGTGCTGGCTGGTAGAAATGCAAAATAGCTTGGGTGGTTGATACATTGCTTCGAGGAAAAGAGGCCAGAGCAGATCCGGGAAAGCTAATGAAGTGGTATCTTCGGGAAAACGGCAGGAATGCAGCTTTTCACTATTCTTGGCTCCACTGAAGGACAATAAACAGAAGTTACTCTGATAAGATTTCCAGTGCCACGTGTCTACTGCTCCATTTAATATCTCATTAATGATCAATCCGGTGTCTAGCTCAGGAATAGTAGACAGAAAATAGTCAATTTTTACCAAAAATTCCCCTAATTTCCATATACTTCTTTTTGAGCTCTATTATTTCATTTTCCTGATGTTTATCTTGTAAAGATCTTCTGTTCAGTTGGGGGTTAACTCTGTTGTATCCCTTTCGAGCTGGTAATCACTCATCCCTTTTCAGGGACAAAGTATTGAACTTTCTCACTTTACTAATCTGCTTGGTAACTTTTTAATTTAGATTTTGCAGGAAGTGCTTCTTGACAGCTATGCGGGAAAGTGGAACGCATTGTCCTCTCTGCCGGGGGAGTGTGACTAAAAAAGAAAGATCATATCCCAAAAGGGCTCTAGATGTTGAAAACAGTATGAAGAAAGCTTCCGGGGGCTGTAGATGCTGTGAGAAGCAGGTAGAGTAAAACTTTACAGAAATTGAATAATAATTTTCTTAGTTTTAACCAGACGCTTCTGCTGTGTGCCATTCACGTGTTGGAGTTAACATAGCCTATAGTGGTTTTTTTTTTTGTATGGCTTATGCATGTAGTAGGTGTGCAGTGCCCGCCATCAGGTATCTGTTGGATATGCCTGATATAGAATAGGACCTTGAATTGTCTACAGTGACTAAGTGGAGTGCCAGTTTTTCAATGAGAAAAAATGAGAAAACTGAATACAGCTATAAAACTGTTACAAGTGAGTTAGCTTACTGAAAATGAAAGCTGGAGATATAGGGAAAGCTTTCACTGTGGAAGTAAAAGCAATCACAGCCACTCTTAATGTTTATATAAACTTACTAAAATTTAATTTTAGGACAACAAATATGAGTTGATTGCTCTATATATATGTACGTTCATATGAAGCTTCTCCCTGCCCCATATTAAATCAGTCTGTTTACTATGCCTTTGTAAAGCAGATATTATTTTCAGAACATTGACTCCACTGAGCTCTAGAGTAATCTATCTTCTAATATGAATGGATGCAGGATTTTAGCCACACATTTTATTTACCAGTCCAGGTAGTCTTCCTGTCAGCTTGGTCTCACTTGGGACCACTGTCTTACATTGTGGAAAGAGGACCTTCTTGCCTTGTTCCTTAGTATACATTGTTACGTAAAAGCTGGAAGAAAGGAATGCTAACAAGTTGATAAATCAAAAGGGAGAATCAAGCAGATTCACGGATGAACTCTAGGCCCAGATGTATGATGTTGTCTTATTTGGCTTCTAAACCTGTAAGCACTTCTGACAGTGCTACTGAACCTGTAGTTCTGATGTGAGGCTTGTCAAGCACATCCAAATTCTGACAAAATGCAGGCAACTCATTACTGTCTTACCTTGCATCTAAGTTAGATAGGCATCCTTCAGCTGGTGTTCATTCCCCTCTTTTTCTTTTTTTTTCTTTTTTCCTCAAATAGAAAAATGATATATTATCAGAACACACTTAATATAAAACAATTTTTGCTCTGCACAAAAGAAGAGTGGGCTAGAGAAGGATGAAGGAGCAGTTGTGCATATCCCATCCTCATGGCCCCTCTCTGTGTTAGCTCCTCAGTGGTTAATCTTCAAGGTGAGAGTTTGAAGGTCCTGCAACTTTGTTTCAATCAGATGGAGTTTACTGGCATTTTTCACAGCTAAGAACTCTCAAAGTTGGCTGGCTGTTAAGAGTGTGGGGGGTGGGAATGCTCTCCAGTCTCATAGGGCGACAAAGAAGATCTTATCTTTGGGAAGAAGGCATTCATCCTGAGAGGAGAGACATAAGTTAGTTTTTCTGTTGCGTGTGATGTCTAAATAATCCCTGCACACATTACTTTCTGTTTGCAGAATTATTTTCCTTCTATCCTTGGATTACTTAGTATAATTTCAGTAATTTGACATTTCATTTACAGGTTAGGTTTTCGTGGATGAGACAGCATTATAAAACGTGTAAGAAGTATCAGGATGAATACGGTGTTCCTTCTGTTATTCCAAAATTACAAATTTCCCAGGATTCAACAGGGAACAGGTAATCAGGGTGATTTCTGTATAACACTGCATTTCTTTCTCCTAGCAGAAATTGTTTCATTTGTTTGTTTTTGGTGGTGGTGGTGGTTTGTTTGTTTGGTTTTCCAGGACGTGTTTTCTTCTATAATAATTATTGTCTGTGTTCTTAGGCTTAAAAAAATGAGTTTTTTCCAGATATTTTTCTTTACTCAGCACACAGAAGAAAACCTTTCTACATGATGGTTTGGAATGTCTTCTAAGGGTCTCTTCTAGAAATGGTATAATATTTCCAGCTTACTTGCTTTGCTTTGACAGCACTTGAGCAGCTTGCTTTGTAGCAGATCTCATAATATCTAGCCCCGAGGAAGTTCCCTTCTTTTGTTCCTCTCTCTCCTTTCCCAGCTCTGTTTTAGTGGTTTTCCTGTTCCAAAACATTATTGTATTGTTGAAGCTTTTGTTTTCAGATTGACTTTGCTTTAAGCTGATCCTTTATGAAAAGTATAAGGAACCTTCAGCATATTACACACCATAATTCAGATACCATTTACCAATTTGCTTTCAGACAGTAAAGCTGAAGAACTTTCTTCCTCATACCTTCTTACTAATGTGTTTTGGCTTGGGCGTGGGGTTGTTACTTCTGTTTGTTTGCTTTTGGTTTATTTTTGAAAACCTTTTTCACATACTGTTTTCATTGACCTTTTATTATATATAGATTGTGCTTTATGCACTGTGTTGACATTCTGTTTTTAGCAGGCTGAACTTCTGTGCATCAGTATATTGAAAGCTGAAGTTCATTCAAACTGCTACCAGAACTAGTTGCAGCAGCATTTAACTGAAACATCTGGATATTGTTATGTGATTAATTAGTGACTACACCATAGCGGAATATTAGTGTTGTTATATGTTTTGTCTTGAAATTCATATTTTCTGGTATTAATGAATTTTAAGAACTTTTGATAGCGAAGTACAGTAACACCATTTTTCTTCTCTCTCTTTTTTTTTTCTTCAAATAAAGTAGCAGGAATGATGCAGTATCAGCTAATGGAGAGATGGCTAATAATCAAATGCGCCAAGGAAATACAAGGTAAGCTGCTTATTTTCCTATAGTTATTATTAAATTAACTATAGTGTAAACTTATGCTGTCTAAAACAAATAAAACTGCAGCAAATTCTGCTTTTAAAAAGTATTTAGTTTCTTCTTTGTTTGCATCGATACATTAGTTTTTTTCACTACTTTCTTGAACACAAAAGTATTACCAGCAAGTAAGAACAAGATGCAATTGCAATTGGATAAAAAATATTTTGTGAAATCCAAGTCTCAGTAAGATGCATTTAGACATACAGATAATAGCCATTTTAAAGCAAATTTATTTAGAAGTAGTGATGATAGATGCTCTGTTAGGTCCACTGTTACAACAATAAAACTGTTTTTTTGTTGTTGTTGTTATCAGAATATGGGAAAGTAATCACAAAATGGCCAAGGTTGGAAGGGACCTCAAGGATCATGAATCTCCACTTCCCCCCTGCCACATGCAGGGCCACCAACCTCCCCATTTAATACTTGACCAGGCTGCCCAGGGCCCCATCCCGTCTGGCCTTGAACACCTCCAGGGATGGGGCATCCACAACCTCTCTGGGCAGCCTGTTCCAGTACCTCACCACTCTCTCTGTAAAGAACTTCCCCCTGACATCCAACCTAAGTCTCCCCTCCCTCAACTTAAAACCATTTCCCCTTTGTCCTGCAGTTTCAAAGAGTTGATTCCCCTCCTGTTTGTAGGCTCCTTTAGGTATTGAAAGGCTGCAGTGAGGTCACCCCGCAGCCTTCTTTTCTCCAGGATGAACAAGCCCAGCTCTCTCAGCCTGTCTTCAAGTAATAACAAGATAAACAGATGAATTAGTCTTTCTGTAATACTACTTCCAAAACTTTTTTTTCCCTCTCTTTAACACTGTGTATTTCTGCTTACAGTGGACATCCAACTTTCAAATGCCCCTTGTGTCAAGAAGCCAATTTTACCAGACAACGCTTGCTGGATCACTGTAATAATAGGCATCTTTATCAGATAGTTCCCGTAGTAAGTAACCTTTTTTTTAAATAAGTTTTTACTTGTGTATAATTCTTTCTACTTTCATTCTGATTATATGAGGGATTTTAAGTGTGCATCATCTATTCTATATCTTAACAGGCCACTGTGATCTGAGAAAGTCATAATACTTAAAGCGCTGCATTTAAATAGAGGTTTTCATTTGAAAATGCTTCTTGTCCAGCACCTGGTTGGTTTTAGGGCATTTCTCATGCAGCTGTCTCATTTAGCTCAATTTGAAACAAACTCAGTTTTATACTTGACATGCACTCCTCCTCTTCATTTAGTATCTCAGTTCTGTTTTTATAGAATTCCATTTGTAACATAACTGTTGTTTTATTTGAAACCTACAGTTAGAAAGTAACCTAAGGTAATCAATAGCAGCAGAGGAGAAAAATCTGTTTTCTATTCTTTTCATCTGTAGAGGAAGAGTTATCTTTTCTTCAGGCTAACTTGATCATCTCAGGTGCATGAAAATCCTTTTAAACAGTGTCAGATGTAGCAATTAGCCTTGTATAGAAGAAACATAGTATTTGAGACATAGGCAGCCTCATAGTTTAAGGAAGGCAAAGATTCAGTATGTACTTTGCGTTGAGTCATCTGTGATGAAGGCATGGAAGAGATTGGAAGAGATTGACACAGGGAGTTGAGATGTTTCTTTTCTAAATTTTATACAACAGGAATTAATAGAGTGGCAGACAGAAGTGATAGTCCTCCACTCCTTAGACAAACACTAACAAACTTGGAAAGCTGAAATGTAATTTTGAATATTACACGACTGAGATAAAGAATATCTAAAACTATATTTCTGTGTAACTATAGTAAGGTATAGTAATACTTTAGACTAGTTATTCCTGTAGAATGTGTTTTTAATGCATTCTGTATTATTACCAGTAGCTTTTTAAAAATTTCTTTGTTGTGTTTTTTTTTTTCCCCAAATTCAGATCTGTCCTATTTGTGTATCTCTTCCTTGGGCAGATTCTAGCCAGGTTACCAGAAATCTTGTTAGCCATCTAAATCTGAGACACCAGTTTGACTATGGAGAATTTGTGGTAAGCTTTTTCTTCTTTATTAAGCAGGGGAGCAAATGGTAATTTTTTATTAGAAATAAAAATGCTAAAAAAAGAAAATTGGTTGTGCACTTTGTTTCTGCTCTGGACAGAAGCTGGAAGTAGTGTTCTTAACTTCCTGCTATCAACATGAAATGTTGCCAGGAGTAGATGTTGCCAACAGTTAAATAAGCACAGCTCCAAGCTGTTAACTTAGACATTCTCAATCTGAACCTTTTTTTTTCTGTAACAGTTCATTTTCCTCAGGAGAAGGGTATATAATGGGTGATACTCTGTTTTATTTGACATTTTTTACCTTCTGTGGCACCAGAAATTAAACCATAGTTCTCAGGACTCTAAGTTCAGCTTGAAAAGCTACAGCCTCTCTGCCAGTGTGTTGTGAAAGGGGCTGCAATGTAAAAAAGAGGTGTAGAGTTATTATTCTTTTGGGCTTATTTTGATTAAATGGCCATTGAGTAGATTAAAACCTGCATACCCATATGTAGTCACTGGGTGGATTGTAACTGAAGCAAACCAGTTGAGTCCTGCATATGGGCTTAGAGATTTGGAGAGTTCATTCTGTAGTTTCAAGAGTGTTAACAGAATTCAGGATATGCTGTGTTAACCTTTGTATAGAAGAAACATAGTATTTGAGACATAAGGAGCCTCACAAGTTAAGGAAGGCAAAGATTCAGTATGTACTTTGTGTTGAGTCATCTGTGATGAAGGCATGGAAGAGATTGACACGGAATTGAGATGTTGAGCTTGAATGCATTTCGAGGGCTTGAGGATGCAGAATTGTTGATTGGAAATATGATTTGGGAAACCTGCCAGAATTGTACCAAAGAGATGTATTAGTCTGAAATTCACTTATAGTGATATAGTAACATCTTGGAATACATCTCTTCAAAAAAGCAGGATTAACCACCCATCTTTTGCGATACGTATGATACAATCTATGATTACTGTAGTCTGGAGATAAGGTTTTGTGTTTATTAATGGAAAAGGTTTTGGCTACTTGAGAGCCCTGGTAGAAGAGTTGTGTGATGCAGTCAGCTTTCCTGAGCTGACTGTTCTGCAATGTAACTGAGCCTGGAAGAGTAGGTGGACCATTCTGCTCAAATAGCATTGTCCTGCTCATCAGAGTTCTCTGTCTCCTGGTTCTTGGTTAAATAAAGGATACTGTGCAACATAAACAAATCAAATACTTACAGAAATACAGAGCCTCGAGTGGGGAAAATGAATTATTGAACTAGAAATTGTGGTACTTGATTATTTGACTATTTTGATAATATTTTCATTTTGTTTAGAATTATCAGCTTGATGAAGAAGCCCAATACCAAAATGCAGTTCAAGAATCCTGTCATGTGAACTTTTAAAGTATGGACTTTAGACTTCTGTCTTACTGGTTATCCTAGAGGAAAAATTACATGATTTCTGTCGATAATCTGAAACCTATATTAATAAAAGCTTGATTTTTTCCACGTTGATAAGAACTTTTCATATATGGTTTTACTGAAACTCAAACTTGATATTTTTAATAAGATCCAGCTCTTGGAATCAGAGGCCTTTCTGGAACAACTTCATCTTTGTTGTCTCTAACTTCTACTACTCTGTTAATCACACAGTTTCTTTTACTAATGCTGGATATTCTGATTTACTGATAACAACTTTGAGAACAGCATTTTAGGGATGCAAAGATGCTCTGTTGCACTGTTGAATTTAAGTTCATCTTTCATCTCTAAGATAGCTGCAGGTTAACAATTTGTGTTGTCTTCCTGCTAGAGGACAAAGTTTTATTTGATGTTGTGATTTGTTCCTTTCCATTACTGTGTAAATGAAAACAGTGCCAGTGTAAGAAATCAAAATACTTGTTTTGTATAGATTAGCAATGCAGAGGTTTCTTTCACTAAGAAAGAATGATGCCATTGCCTGGGAATAATTACATCTATTTTCTTCCCTTTTTGAGCATAACTGAAGTAGGACACTTGATCAGAAAACTGAATGAGGAGTATTCTCCATCCTCCTAACTATCAGTGAAGATAGCCCCCTTGCCATATTTTCTGAGCGATTCATGATGGCATGCAAGAGGTGTACTTTCTTGGTATGTGAGTGTGACTAGCTAGTTTTTTATTTTGTTGGAGGTTTTTAAAAACTTCAGTAGTTTTAGGAATTTAAGTCACCGTCTGTGCTGTCTCTCACAGCAGACTGTGTAAGTAGAGCATTTATTGGCTTCGGACAAATCGGTGCTCAGAAATGAACTTGTTTATTTTGTAAAGCTGTTTAATATGTGGACATCTGCTTCATTCAGAGGCTTGAAAAAACACTTGAAGAAAACCTTGCTGTAAATTAATTACCAACATTCTGCTATTCTTGATATCCACATTCTCAGCAAGACTGCCATTAAAATTGGAGGAAAAAAAACCCAAAAAAGGCAACACCAATTTTGAATTTAAATAGGAAATGCATTTTTAAAAGAAATTCCAGATCTTTAATATTAATAGGAGGAAGGGGAAATAAGAAGTAAGTCATCTGCACAGATGACGTTTTTGGGGATTTAGACAGAGACATTTCTGAATGTATACCTTTGAGGACTGAACCTTCACGCTACGTGACTATGATCCACCATCAGACTGTTCTTAATGTGTACTGTATGCATGGTGAAGTACACACCTGGTCTTTATTTATGCCTAGTTGGTGGTTTATATGTAACGATATCAGTTATGCAGAAGTACGACCTCAAACTCCTGTCTGAGTATTCTCACTCAGTCTGTTTTAGTGTTCTTTTGACCACATACCGCTTTGGAGCACTTCACTGAAAGCAAAGGGAAAGGTTTGTTTTGATTTTTATTTTTTTTCCCCCCTTTGTTCCTCTGCAAAGCGAACTATGAAACAGGGCCAAGGAATTTCAATGTAGCCTGATACTAAAGATTTGATTTTTTAAAAGAAAATGACCATGGTGTGTGTTTTTTTATTGCTGTATAGATTTGCAAATTAATTTAATTAGTTATGTGAAAGTTTGGTTAACTTCTTTAGATTCAATAAGTTATTTATATAATCTGGCATTAACTGCCTATAGCCAATACAGATTCAGAACACCTTGTGGACACTGGAACTGGGTATTTCTGTTACTTGAGCATACTTTGAAAATTGGAAATGGAATTACATCTACTTTAAAAGTCTGGGAAGCGAGTTCTTCTATAGCAATAATTAGCTGCCACTTGATACATAGTTGCTGAAGTAGCATTTTGTTCACATTTAAACAAAGAGACTTGAATGCATATGTTAAAGCAACAAATGTGTATCAATGCAATATTAAAAAAAAAAAACTTGCACGGTGTTTATTCTCTTTATTTGCATATGCTAATGTCTGTATTGGTAGGCACTGCCTTGCTTTTGAGATTTTAAACTTATAATAGGAAGAGATTGCATCCAGCACATTCACTAGGTAAGCAATTCTTGAAAATGAAACAATCTGTTTAAATATGCTGCTTCTGGTCATGATCTTTCGTACTGAAACTCAAACATGCCTAAAACGTTGTGTATTTGTAATGAGCCATGCTTGTATTCGAAACATAAAACCTTTACTAAAACATTGCTGTTGAATAATATGTTCATATTGCATTGTGTATAGTTGAAATATGCTGCATTATGTTTAAATCTTTCCTTTATTTTTTCTTCTATTAAAGTATTTTATTTTCTATTTGTTTCTTTGTTGCATAATAAAGATGATCAGTCTGTTTGATGCTGCTATTTCTTTTTCAGATGCTTTTTAATCTTCAGTTCACGGTCATTTATATGCTTTCATAGTTTTAAGTTGAGAAATAGTGTGTATGTTACTGAAACTAACATTTTGTGGCCTTAGCTCACAATCTTCTCGTGCTGACAGGCTGCTTTACATCACATCTTAAGATCTTTTCATGAAGCAAAGCTTAAAAAAAAATAAAAATAAAAATAAAAAAAAGTTGGAATAAAAACTATTCCTAATAAATCTTTTTTCTCTCTCCTGTTAGTATATTGCTGTCCCATGCAAAGTTAATAGAGAACCTCCTAAAAGAAAGAAAGATTTACTTAACACTTAATGCTAATAGCAAACCTTATTATTTAGGTAGATTTAGTGAGAAGAACTAAGGTGGGGTTTTGTTTGCTTTGTTTTTCCTGTGGAAAGAATTTCTGGTTGCATTATTGGACCAGCATGGTGGTATGCAGGTGTTTGTCCTTCTGCCCCTGTGTTTCTGAGCTGAAAAGCCCTTTCATTATTTTGTTTTTTATATTCTAAGGTCATACACAGAATAATATGGTTATGGAATTTGAGTTAAGGTCTTATTTTGAGTGATAGAAGTTGGCAAGAAGTATAAACTTACTTTTTGTTATTAGTGTTCTTTCTCCTTGTAACTTAGTTTTGTGAACTCTAAATAGATTATTGTACCACTTAAACCTGGTTACAAGCCCTTTGTTAGAGATTCTATTTAATTTTCTTTTACTGTAACAAAGTGAATCCCATTATTTAGAGAGAATGCACTTAGTGTGTTTATTTCTCCTTGGCTGCATATTCATAATACAGTAAGTGAGCTCTGTAGAACTCTCCTTTGTCCTGTTCCAGTCTTTAGTCAGGACTTCATTCCCAGAGAGAGAGACATCACTGTGTCTGGGTCATCTTCTGACAGATAGTCAGGCCTAGAAGGTATCCATATTGGGAAGCATTTTCAGACTCCTCTTGAGATGTTATTTTTCAGACCAATGAGACTTGAACACATGAATTTGTTAGAACTACTATAAATATATATAACATATTTTAGGGTATATTTTTAATACCTTTTGTTTTTCTGGGCACAAACTGGAACAGAGGCGGCTTCCTCTGAGCACCAGACAGCACTTCTGTGTTGTAAGGGTGATGCAGCACTGGCACAGCTTGCCGGGAGGCTTTTTATGGGATTTCTTTCTGACCCCCTGCTCTGGGTGTCCCTGCTGGAGCCAGAGTTGGTCCTGGTGGACCCAGAGGT